TTGAATTACCTTCCTTGACCGTTTAAAAAGAGCCTTGAGTTCCCCTTCATTGCTTTTTGTAATCATTTATCGTGTCAAGGTAAAGAAGTATTCTGGATTAACTTTTTCTCTTACCTCATTATTGCCTTTCTATAGGCCATCGTCATTATGAATGGGATAGCTTATTCCAAAACGGTTACTATCCAGGAGTGGCAAAGTGAGAACTCTTCGGGTTGGGCATGAAAAGCGATTTTACAATCAAATAAAATCCTCTGTTTCTTTGCATTCGAGGCTTGGGCGACTGGGACAAAACCTCTTTCTAGCGTTAACAGGCAGATACAGTTGAATGATCATCATTTCGGGAACCAATTACTTGGAACGCAAATTCGTATTTTGAATTACCTTCCTTGACCGTTTAAAAAGAGCCTTGAGTTCCCCTTCATTGCTTTTTGTAATCATTTATAGTGTCAAGGTAAAGAAGTATTCTGGATTAGCTTTTTCTCTTACCTCATTATTGCCCTTCTATAGGCCATCGTCATTATGCATTCTTTAGGTTATAATAAAAGTTTTTTTCGTTTGAAATAGGCTTTTGAGAATACCAATTAATCAGGTATTTGAGATGCGTTCACCCTTTTTCCTTTAAGATGATGAAGGACTGGTAATTGAATTTTCCCACGATGATATGAGTGGACCTTATGTTTCAATTGAATTCCACATAACTTGTTTTACCAAAATATATTCCCATCCAGGATAAATTGTGCTAAGGTTCGACCTCGCCTCAATCGGTTATATCAGGCTGTGGTCAGCAAGGCTTGGTAACCCAAGAAAAAGGGCAATTTCGCAAGCAACTCCGGTTGCGATAATGTGATGTAAACTTGTAAACGTGTAAGTCAGGTTACGAAACTATCCGTCAGAATTTGTCAGTCTAGAGCCTTTTAATTTTAACGACCCTAGAAAAGGTATGACTGGGATTGCATATTCTCTTACGTCTGGTTTGCTTGATGAGCTTAATCAAACATGTTGGACGAGTGTGAGTGATATTGGAGCCATCACTGATCGGACAAGTTGAGTCGCCTACATTTGGATCGTGGCTCATCCTCATCTCTCTCTTCTTCAATCTACCAATCAAGCATAGGTAGTACTTATTCACATTTCTACCATCTTTCCTCAAATTCAACGTATTCCATAATCTATTAATTTCAGTAGTCTCTCTTATCTTACTTTTAACAGATTCAATTATACGTTATTAGTATATATAAGAGGTAAGATAAATCCGGCTAATCTTCTTGACCTGGTGTTAACATGAGACTTTTGCTAGAATGAATTCCGGTTCAGAGGATATCCATTATTTGATGGAGGAGAGCTCAGCCCGTTTCCACCCTAGACTAGGCAGGAGGTCTTGTAGTCAGCGTCAATCTAAAGGTGGTATTAACGCCAAACGGCCGCTGTTCAACAGGAATCCTCCTTCGTCTTCTGGTGAAATCAACCTACAAATCTTATCTTCATACACTTACATACGAAATGAATGTCTCCTCAACAAAGTTATCCCAGTAAATTGACCGAAACCCAGTTACTCTTCGTATCTATGCTAGAATTGATAAATGTACTAAATCCAATAGATATTTAAGATAAGTCTATTCGTCCAATCACTATTTGTATCTTCTTTTCAGTGTGTTTACATTTGCGACGATCGAAATGCATTCATCTCAAATGCCCTGTCAATCAAAACTTTGTACCACATGCCATGAGCTGGAGAAGAGTCAAATGAAACGATATGTAATTTAGCAAATTTGTAAAATAGGCAAATAGCCAAATCTATTCATGTATAATTTACAGTACATCTGAGGCCTGTGATGAACTACGAAAAAGTGCAAAGTGATATTGACGAGACAGATTAATTTCATAAATGCGTGACAGTGTTGCGCTCCTTAAACACTGCCCTATTCGATGTGGAATTACATGCACGTAGTGTCGCTTTTCAATTGTTCCATCTTCGAGTTGGTCAATCTCACGGATATATTCTGGACGAGTGAGAAGTCTACCCGGCCATACAGTCGAGAAAATCGACAATTCATGTAGACTATCTCGGAAAGCATCATGGCCTGCCTCAATGTTGAGGCCTAAAAAACATTTTACAGCCAAGTGGAGATGACGGAAAATGTGCTCACCGGATTCGGCCTTGTCTGCCAAAGCCACTTTTGGATCCCGTTGCTGGGGTCGGAAGGTATGTCGGCCGGAGCCATAGGCTAGGCCTTCAATTGAGTGAGCCGATGCTCCTCTTCTTCGTCACTTGGGAGCTCATCTTTGTGTGCATCCCTTCGTGTCGTCTGTAGAGATCATGCTGCTAACGTGGTGCTTGAGATCTCTGTCGTCATGCCTGACGTGCAATGTTCGGTGATACCTAATGGATCCGTTGGCCTCTCGGATACATGTCCGGCGTCCCACTTGCGTACGTCGTCAAAGACCGGTTTCTCATTCGACTGTGGTTCTTACTCCTTATCTCATCCCACCTTCTATTCCATTTATTTCTACTCGAGTCGCCACGACGACTGACGACTTTCGACGACTCAGAAAGACGAACATGCATTCATCTCTTCTGCTTTCTGAAAGAAGGAAGCCACTCGAGGAACATTCGATTATAAGGGCCGAATGCCAAGGGAGACCATTGTCTAGACACTATGAAGGACTCGGTTCCGGATAAACCGACTAGTATTGTTCTTCAGTACGGTAGCGTCGATTTCCTTCTGTTACGTAGGTCTGTCCTTAAGCAATACCTTGACAGCTAAACATATTTTTCTTACTGAATTTTATCAAGGCTTGATAGAATTTCCTTCGGCTGTACTCAGCTCGAAGCTGTCAGACATCTTCGGCAGATGTTTATCTGCATCGTGTCTTCACTTTTTCACTGCTTGCTCTCTCATTTCCATCCAGTTTTTGTCGATTCACTTGGTCACGATGAAGAAGACATCTACTGCTTTTTTCGGCAAGTCAACTCTAACGACAGCGTTGTGCATTGTTGACCTTTACTTGGTAGAAGTGGTTCCTACAAACATTCTCACGTCTGCCGTATGCATTGTTTCTACAATTTTAGCTATCTTCTCGGCTTTCGCCTCTTTTATCAACAGGGTTTATGAAAGATATGTCGAAGTGGATAGGATAACTTGTATTTGCCTACTTGCCCGAGACCAAGAGCTGCCCTCTACCAGAAAGGATAGATGAAAGCGAACGAAGGATTCGCTTCCGAATGGAGCAGATTGGATGAAGCATCACAGAAGATTCAATAGCAAATATCACGGCACAACTGCATTCCGATTGATTGTCTTGCTGTAATTCTTATAGCGTACGATGCATAGTTCATGGTACAGTGAAGATGGAGAGGCCGCCAGTCCTGGACTCAGCTTCTCGACTTTCACACTTGTCATTTCCACCAGTTTCATCCAAGCGACGATGGTGCTCTAGATCCTACAAGCAGTATCATTCGCTAATCAGGCACTGGATGGCTGTACTGCAGATGATGTACAAAAGTGGTGACACGATTGTGTGCATATTTCGCCCGCCTCGACCCGTATCAGCATCACACCCACTGGGATCCGAGGCCGGAGCCCGCTCCTCAAGACGTGGAGTGTAGCCCAGTCAAGCACAGAAGTAGCAAGAACTTTAAAATACATTACATCTCCGCCAACAGACTTATTATACGCTCCATCTTACAAATCCTGATACAGATTTGCCCGGGAGTATGGTGCTACTCAACGCACAAATACCCTGGAGCATATAATAGGGTGGCCAATCATTTCATTTCGAAGGAAAAGTTGGTTGGAAGGAATATGTGAATTAGATTGTGCAAAGGAGTGTACAGCTCATCGTCCTGCTGCTTTGATGAGCGGTCAGCGTCAAAGCAGAAAACATATTCTACAACAAAACGCCCCAAAATACCAAACCAAGAGATAAAGTGGCCTGCTGCAAACCTATTCATTCCTTATATATACATTTGCAATATTAACGAGACATCCAATTAGTTGGTTAGTTCCTTTATGCTAACCCTTACAGATGCCGGAAGTTAAGTGATGAAAAGGAAGTAGAGTCAGCAACCTCCTCGTCTCGCTCAGAAGTTCTTCCTGCTAATTTTTTTTCTCCTTCTCTAGGAGCCTATTGAACAGATAAAAAAATATTTTCCACTCACTTTCTTAAACTAGTTTCAGCTATTCAGGTTTTTGGAAACTTTGCTTATTTCAGTAAACTGATGCAACCAACCAAATTATGTGATGCCTCAGTAGGATCACAAAATTAGGCATAAGAAGTGAGTAGGTTTGACGCCGGACAAATGATTTAGTATGTTGGTGTGCCCTTTGACGATGTCCTTCACGACGGTTCAAACGAAGACTCCATACGAGTTCATCGGAGTCGCACGGCGCCCAATCCAAAAGATTTCAGACAGCGGCAATCCTCATTCAGTTTTCAGCGAAACCAATTGAGAAATTCCTCCGAATCAGGTTTACCTTTAGAAGTGATATTACCTCATTTTCACAACTTTGTCGTGTTTTCAGGGCGACTTAGTTAAACGCACCTTGTTCGTAGTCATGACCTATAGTAGGTATCATAATTCCCGGTGTGGTAGTGTGGACTTGAGACATTTTCAGACATTTCGCCGGCATCGTATCCCGCATCGCCGGTGAGTCTTGCCAGCGAGGTCGCTTGTCTTTTTGACGAATTGTAGCTTGACGCCAAGAATGGAAAGGCTCACTGACGATGCCGACGAAACGTCTGGGAATGTACAAAGTCCACGATTGAACGCCAGGAATTATCGTTTCTGAATCTTGATCGTGCTGTAATAGTGTCTTGAATGGAATCAATTATATAAAATAAGTAGTCGGACCTCGTTTCTGAATCTTGATCGTACCTTCATATGGTCTTGAATGAACACTATTATATAAAATAT